TTTTAAAATTTAAATACCGCTAATTCTTAAATGACTTATCGTCAATAAGTTTTTAAACTTCGTACTCTAAAAATAAATTTACTGAAAACCAAACAAAATAAATTACTTACACGCTGCTGCTTAAAGCTTACTCGAATTGAAAAATGCATTGGCAAATCGAAAAATGCTTTAGTTTAAATAAATCAACATTATTTTGAATTTCTATGCAAAGAGCTCGAGGGGAACGAAGAATGTCGATTTCAAGACACTCTTCTTTGCCAATGACTGACGGTTTTAAAATGGAACTACAACCTAGACGGAAGGTGCGGAGAAAACGGAAAAAAAAAGAAAACTTCGAATTTTCATTAATTAATAAAATTTAGCGGTAAAAAGATAGATAGTCTGCGTAGAATAAATCTAGACTTAGTCATGGAAGACTTCGACTAACTTTTAATTAGTTTTTGATACGATCCAAAGTTGCATGACACATATTCGTTTACTGTAGTTACCTTATCATCATTCGTTCCATTCCAACTGCTTGTCTATATTTTTTTTTCTAGATTTGAAAGGAAAAGAGACTAGAGATACTTTTTTTAAAAATAAATTTATTTTATTTAAAAAATGGCCTTAGAACTATTTCCAAAAGAATATTTTGAACTACGTAAAAGGTTTATTAGTAATCTCTTAAAAAAACTTTAGTTTTATAGCTGAAATTAATATATTTTGAGAAAAAAAAGAAATATAAATTTATTATTTTATAAATTTAATAAAAATATGTGCTGAAAGTTGTTTGTCTCATTTGATTATTTTATTGTACCATAAGGGATGAATATCAAATGATGATTAGAGCATATAAGTTAGTTTGTTGTTTTGTGAAATTTTTTTAAATATCGTCTGCCTTTTGACAGGAAAAATGTTTATTGCTATTTCAATAATGAGATTAGAATATAACAATTTGCACTTGAGAAAGTAGGGAATTTTTCAAAGTTTAAAAAACAGGAGCCAATTTAAATGTAGGAAAGTTCAGGCAATAGCTTATAAAAGTAAATAAAATAGCTTATAAAAATAAACAAAATGTCAGAAATTTTTTTAAAAAAGGTTTACTGAATAAAAATGTTTTTTCCATGTAAAGTTCTTTTTGTACGCAAATATTTCAGATATGATAAATAATAAAGAACGCTATTCACAATACATAATGTTTACTGATAATTTTAAGCAAACAATCTGGGCTACAATGTAATTTTTAATTCAATTTTTTCTAAGAGACGTAAATCCTGGAAATGAATATGATCAAATTCTTGTTCATTCCTTGTTGTATCAACATAATCCGTCAGAAAAATTCAGAGTTGTTTGAAGTGTTAACAAAATGTTTGTTGTTAATGGAATTTTTCAATTAGAATTGAATATATAAATATGTGTTGTAATGTACTGAATGTACTTCAATGCTTTCTACTTATCTTTTCTACAGTGTACTTCGAGGCAAATTTAATAACTGGATTTATTTTTAAACTTTAAGAGTAAAAAATATTGAGCTCTTATGCATGTTAAAAGTTTTGATTAAGCACTGTTTAAAAACTCATATCTGTAAAACATGCCTTATTTTCAGATGATGCAAGGAAATGTGCCAATAAATAAGCATATTTCTAAAATAATAAGTCCCAAAATATTTATAAAATAAAAAAAAAAAAAAATTTAGATACAAATTTGCAATCAAAACTTAATTCGGCGATCTAGTGGAACGAAAAGTTGTATTTTTAGGATTAAGTAAAGAATGAAAAATTTTATAAACATGTTTAGACAATGTTTTAAATATCAATACTCATAAATATAAATAATTTCATATCATAAGTGATAAAGAGATAAAAAATTTAGAGAAAAAAAATCAGCCAAATTGTCTACGCATTGCGATGAGTTGACAAAAAGAACANATAATATCAAATGATGATTAGAACATATAAGTTGTTGTTTTGCGAAATTTTTTTAAATATCGTCTGCCTTTCGACAGGAAAAATGTTTATTGCTATTTCAATAATGAGATTAGCATATAAAAATTTGCACTTGAGAAAGTAGGGAGTTTTTCAAAGTTTAAAAAACAGGAGCCAATTTAAATGTAGGAAAGTTTAAGCAATAGCTTATAAAAATAAATAAAATAGCTGATAAAAATAAACAAAATGTCAGGAAAAATTTGTAAAAAGGTTTACTGAAAAAAAAAATGATTTTTCGATGTAAAAGTTCGTTTTATTCGCAACTATTTCAGATATGATAAATGATAAAGAACGCTATTCACAATAAATAATGTTTACTGACAATTTTAAGTAAATAGTTTGGGCTACAATGTAATTTTTAATTCAATTTTTTTCTAAGAGACACAAACCCTGGAAATAAATCTGATCAAATTCTTGTTCATTCCTTGTTGTATCAACATAATCCGTCAGAAAAATTCCGAGTTGTTTCAAGTGTTAATAAAATGTTTGTTGTTTACGGAATTTTTCAATCAGAATTGAATATATAAATATGTGTTTTAATGTACTGAATGTACTTCAATGTTTTCGACTTATTTTTTCTACAGTGTACTTTGAAGCAAATTTAATAGCTGGATTTATTTTTAAACTTCAAGAGTAAAAAATATTGAGCTCTTATACATGTTAAAAGTTTTGATTAAGCGCTGTTTAAAAACTCATATCTGTAAAACATGCCTTATTTTCAGATGATGCAAGGAAATGTGCCAATAAATAAGCATATTTCTAAAATAATAAGTCTCAAAATATTTATAAAATAAAAAAAAATGATTTAGATACAAATTTGTAATCAAAACTTAATTCGACGATCAAGTAGAACAAAAAGTTGTATTTTTTGGATGAAGTAAAGATTGAAATACTTTATAAACATGTTTAGACAATGTTTTAAATATCAATACTCATAAATATAAATAATTTTATATCATAAGTGATAAAGAGATAAAAAATTTAGAGAAAAAAAATCAGCCAAATTGTCTACGCATTGCGATGAGTTGACAAAAAGAACATTATTTATCATTCCACCCAATTTATAATTCAATTCTTTTTTTCAATTAGAAACAGAACTCTCAGATCAAATCCAATATTCCCTCTGCTCGAAATAAACTAGTCAATCAGTCCAAATCGGAAAAAAAATAATACTTAATAAAAATGTTATGTACTTTGAAACTATTTTCACCCATCAGAGCCTGATTTTAAATTACTACTACGGGAAGATTAAAAAAGGAACGCAAATAATCAACTAAAAAAAGATGAGTTTTTTGAAAGTTTGTTTCCGAACCCTTTACCGATTTCTTAGTAATTTTCTTCAGAGATTCAAAGAAGATTGGTTTCCGCCGAATGCCAATAGCTTTCACAGGGACAGATTCCCTCCAATTTGAATTGCTGATTCACTACCGACCGAGAAATTACTTTAATTCTATTCTTTTTTTTATTTTTTTTAAAAGTAAAATAAAATACAATGTTTACTAGTTGCCTAAAACTTTTTTTTAATTGTGTGATTTAAAAGGTTATTTTTTGGGAATGATTTTTCGAGACGAATTTTCTCTTTTGCATATTCCAATTTTTAAAAATACTATATCGACTGTATCTTTCTGCAACTCTAATTTGAATAGCTATTATGTAAATAAAACTGCGCCATGAGAAGAAACTAAATATTTTTCTTTTTCATTGCAGAATTATTATTCTTTTTTGGCCTCGTGATAGGGGAATTTTTTTTTTTTACATTCTATTCTTAATGTCTTAGCAATATACTTCTTTTATACAAAAGGATTCTTAAAGTTTATTTTAAACTTAGAAGTTGAATTCTAAAATAGTTGAATAAAACATTTAATTAAATCCAAAACACATATTGGTCAAAAACTCTAACTAATATTTTTCTTAAATTGTTTAAAAATTTTTCAGTTTACAATCAGTTTAAGTTTTTAAAAAAAATACTAAAAAGGGTTTGAACATGACTCTGTTTTTTGAACTCATTTTATTATAACTCAATGTAATTAAAAAATAAAGTTTGGGTTATTACTAAAAAAATAAGCATTAAACTGAAACGTAATGACATCATCAGTATTAGAAAATATTCAATTAAGAACATTTTGTTACAGCACTTGCTTTTGATACTGGTGACATAGGTTCAAATCTCGGTCAAGGTTGATGGGTTCGTTATTTTTACGCCGGTGTTAAAAATTTAGAGTCTTATGAGAGTCAGATTAACCATGAGAAGTTTTAGTGACCAGATGTTGGCTAAAAATAATATAATTCGGGCGAAAGATGAAAGTATTTCATATCTGTCACGTGTATACTCTCATAAGCGGTTATAATGTAAGGTAAAATAAAAAAAAGCTAAATTTAAAATGACATAACTACGTTTACTGCACTGAGAAAAAAAGTTTGGTCAAAACTACCAGAATATGGTAAAATTTATCGCGTTTCTTGCACTATGAGATCTGCAAAAAGCTGGGTAATTTTTATCGAAGTACTTTGGCAATGATTCTGGAAAAATTAGCAATGAAATATACTTTTGTAATGTGTTATAACATTTGTTAAATGTTGTAAAATTTGGTAATTTCATCATGTTATCTAAGAGCATTGCATAAAAACCATTTATTTCGGTAAATTTACTTTTCAGTTTTGTACTAAATAAGTGGTAATAAGAACTATAATTTTGAAAACCAAAACTTCTGGTAAACAGTTACCATATGAACGGAAAAATTGCCAAATTGGTGGTTTAAATACCGTATATTTTGGCTTTATTAATCAGAATTACTTTTTCTTTTACAGAAATGCTGTTAGCATACAGTACGGTAATTTTACCAGAATTTTTTCTTCTTTTGCGAATATACGAGTCAAAGTAATGCTAACAGATGGCAAATATTTTATACCTCCCATTTCTGAAATTCAGAATTTTACTATTGATGAAACAAACGCAAAATCACACATTGAAATTGAAGAAAAAAAGAAAAGTGTGATTTGTAAGAAAATAAATGGTAAAAACAAACAATAAATTACCTGTTCTTGCGGAGGGCGTATTTTGAGCTATTGCTTTTGGGACAATTGTCTCCAGAGAAAGAAAAATTATAAATAGGATTGTCGTTAAATGGTGCCTTTGATTAAAGATCCTTAAAACTTTGTCTGAGAGCCACCTCCTTCGTCCTATCGTCCACCACATTTTGGACACTGAAAAAAAAATATAACAGTTAGCAGAGAACAGGTATCATATATAACACATACATGTGATAACAGGTATTACTTATCGTGAACTAAAATTTTGTTTAATGGATAACAGATTGCTTAGTTGTATCGTTTTAGGAGTAAGTTAAATTAATCATTCCTTTTCTACCTTCTTAAGATTAATACGTAAGCACGCGCATTAAATGATATGAAAAATAATGTATCAATGTAAATGGACAAAAATAAAATGTTATTTTCAAAACCATAAGTAAATTTTTATGAAAGCAATTATCTTAAATTGTTTTTTAACTAGTTTGTTAAAAAATATTTTTTTTTCTTCAAATAATTTTGAGAGAATAACAGTTTAGAAAATTAATTCGAAAGTGACTTAAAATGTTCTTTTTTGACAAAAGTTTTTAAAATTTTATATTTTTAAAAAGTATGCTGTAACTTATTTTGGGGAAGTGTTGGAAGCTAAAATTTAATAAAACAAATAAAATTTAGAACAAAGGAAAATAATATATACTACATAATACTACATAAATACAGAAAAGTTGTCTTCTGATTTATCAAGTTAATTTTCTAAGCAAATTTTTTTAACATTAATAACGGAAAATATAAGCATTCTGCAGCTTGAAAATATATTTCTTAACAGAGAAAAAGCATACATTTCTAATTTATTCGAGAAGTGATAAAAAACATTAAGCATTTTTATTATTTTTATTATTTTCAAATTTCTTATAAAAACATTTATTTTAAGCGGAGATTTTTCAAACTAATTTTATTCTCTTTGCTCTGTGTTATTGATTATATAACCAGGGAAAAAACTGCTCAGNTTTTAACAGAGAAAAAGCATACATTTCTAATTTATTCGAGAAGTGATAAAAAACATTACGCATTTTTATTATTTTTATTATTTTCTAATTTCCTATAAAAACATTTATTTTAAGCGGAGATTTTCCAAACTAATTTTATTCTCTTTGCTCTGTGTTATTGATTATATAACCAGGGAAAAAACTGCTCAGAAGACTATTAGATACTGCGAGCAAACAAGAAAATAGTAGTTAAAACTAACGTAAAATGCATTGAATTAAAAAAAAAAAATTATTTTTTTTCTCAACCAAATCTTTCAATAGATTTGAATGATTACAAATGTGATTTTTGCGTGCCTATGAGCGAGCCCTAGGCAATTACATCCAGACCTGGATATCATCCAGAAAACCCAATAAAAGTATTAGAATTTTACTTCTAAAAAGCACTAAAGCCTGTTTGATGAAAGAACAATTTAAAGAAAAAAAGATCCTGGAAAGCGTTCGCCCGTTAACAACTTAAAGAAGACAAACTTCGGCACTGATAAGACAAAGCCAGAAAACGTGCAGTTATATTTAATTAGACCGAATTAAATGGCGATAGCAACTTTAATTAAGAGATCTTAACTTAAACCGAAACATTACTAGATTTGTTTGGAGAAGAGCTTTAGAGAATTTTCTTTTCTTAGCAAAACAAGAAGAGAATATTTAGAAGAGTTTTGAAGGGCTTCTACAAAGTGTCGATGATTGTTATGGAGCTGGAGCTTTTTTTCTTCCTGTAACGGAGCTTATTTATTTAAAACGTTAGAAAAAGTTAAACACAGCCTATGCGCTTTGTATTTTATTTGCGATGCATAGAACAGTGAATTTTTATTAAGATAATAAGGAGCGATAGGACTTTGGCAAAGAATTAATCAATTCGGCGATGCACGTAGATTGAAATAAGTACGTGAAATCGATTCTTTTTAATGAGGAGTAAAACTATATATTTTTTGCTTTCAGAAAAAACTTTTTCATCTAAGGAATTTGGTGAGGAATGCTTAAAGGGATGCTGTTTCGATTTGCAAACAACTTTGTAAAAGACAGGTAATAGAACCATTTGGTTAAAACTACCGTTTTGATTTCTTGATTTTATTTTTTTTTCTTCGCCAAGTTAAACGATTAGTGTTTACGTTAAAAAATCTTTTCCATTCTAAATTTTGTATAGAGATTTTTAAACGCTACGAAGTAAAGATGTTGAGATTGAAATTAACTTTGGCTAGATATTGGTTTGATTAAGCTTCTTCTTAAGCAGTGTCATTTTAAAATTAAAAAAGTGGTTCAATTGAGAATAAATGGTAAAAAAGTTGTTTATTCTTGTAAAAAGATTATTTATTTCGCAAAGTAATTATGAACAATAGGCAAAATTTCTAAGACAAATGTGTACCTATGCGCAGTTATATTCTTAAAAAAAAGTAAGTTAGTTTAAATTCACACCAGATTAGGAATGTAGCCATAGATATAAAGGTAGCTTATTATATTAGTCTCTATATTAGTCCCTGATTGCAGTAAATTGAAACGATTTTATGGTTCAATGAGCTAACATTTTTCTAAATATCTAACTCTTTCAGAGTTCGCCCTTTTAAATTTTGCCTTCCCATAAACTTCTGAATACCGGCAGCTATAACCAACCATAAGTAAAATCAAACGTATTAGACAGTACCTATGACAAACTGCTTGCAGTGTTGTGTAACGGCAAATTTAAGAATTACAGGTATTATCTCAAAAATGATATAAAATAGAGGATAACAGTTTAATGTTTATTATTAATGGAGAAACGTGCATGCAGACATACTCATATTGGCACTAATATTTCAAGCTTTGAAGTCATAAAATTTACAACTTCTACTCGTTGCTTTTATTACGGTTTTACTGAGAGAGTATTAATATTGTTTTGCACATTCTTTTCAACTTAACAATTTTTGAAATATCATCAAACGAATAAGTATTTTCCCTTAGTTTAAATGTCTAGATAAAGATACGGATGACTTTATTTTGTTGGAAATTTTCTTATATCTTGTAACGGCTTTGCAAAACCAGAATCCAAATATAATTACTTATCTGAGTTTTTTTTTCATGTAAAATTGCGTTTTGCGTACTCTTATTCATAGGGGGAGATGGATTAATTGGAGTTCTCAAATTTATTAAGTGTACCAGGAAAATAATTAGTACATATATTTACGAAAAGTTGAGTTTTGAATGAACTTAACTTCGACAACTCAACTTCTATTGCAAGATAATTAAGACTATTCATACCACTTTTTAACGTTCAAAAAAATATTGCAAAATTAATAACTTAAAAACAAACAAACAATAATTAATTAAGGTAATTTTTTGCTATATTAAAAAAATTACCGGTTTTGTTGCAATAAAGATAATTAAGCTTATAAGGAATTAATTTAACATTTCAACATTAAACATTTAAAGAATTAATTAAATTTATAGTGTATTTATCCCTAAAATTATTCTTATTCCAACAACAGTTGAACAAATCTCATTATCACGGGAAGCTAAATTTTTAAATCATAACACAAGACACCATTTGGTAAAGTTTGCGCACTAACATAAAACAAGGGTCATTTTCCCAGTTGGAAGTATTAGTAAATCAGGTCTTAACACCCCTACATTGGCAAGGGTTGCGTCCCTCCTTTTCGGCAGTCTTTTCAATTAAGGAAAGAACAGCAAGGAAAATCGGTACCACAGCTATTCGATGAGGGGTGAATGGTGGACGGGGTCGGAGATTGCGATCCAGATAGTCAGATTACGAGTCCGGTCACGTCCGGGGGATTGCCGAGAAACTTTCATGTGTAGTAATATAAATAAGTAACTCGTAATCGATACGAGTACGAAGACCATAGATTGTTTGAAAGCTGAAATCAGTAATGGGCAGACGACTATGCATCGACAGTTAGTTGAAGTAAAAATTATCTTTGAAGTGATATTGGGGAAATTTACTCAAAATCGATTTTAATCTTTTGAGTTGGTATACGTCAAATAGTGTATTGATTTTAAGACACATCTTACTGATAATAACACAAAGTGTATTAATTCGGAACCGTAACGTAATCGGAATATCTGGAAAAATCTAGAGTATTGTTTGTTTCTGGAACATCTGGAATATTGTTTAACATGTTTTGCAACTTGGAAAAAAAAGAAAAATTGCATTCCATAATACTCTGTGTATTTCCTTCGCATCAGCACCGTTTTAAATATATGTGTTTAATGTACAATATGTACATCGTTCTTAATATACATTCTTATTTAAAACAATCAATACACATCCATAAAGTAACAACTATAATAACCGAATATAAACGATTATAGCAGTGCTAATTGTAGTAACAATTAATCAAGTACATAAATAGATTAGTGTAACACGAGCAACTTTTTCCAAAATTCAAAATTTCAAGTAGATACGAAGCTGTCCCCATGTTCCATTTTTGGAATAATTCTTTTGGTCAAATTAATGAAAAGAAATTAGGCTTGGAACATCATGAAAACTTCAACCTGAAACCGAATATATTATATAACTTAGAATTACTAAGAAAACATTTATTGTAAAATTATCGTACTGAATGGTAATAAAATTTCTAGTAAAAAAGATCATAATTATGGTAATAAAAAACAAAATTTACGGTATTTAAACCATTCATCTGGTAATTTTTACATTCATTTAGTAACAGTTTATCGGGAATTCTGGTTTTCTAAATTATATTTTCTAAATTATATTCTAAATTATATTATCACACATTTAGTAAAAAATTCAAAACTGAAGTAAATCTAACCGATTAAGCAGTTTTTATGCCGTGCTCTAAGATATTTTGATAAAAATTACTAAATTATCCCAAATTTATCATTTTTTATCACATATAATAAAACCATATTTTATAGCGAGTTTTACCAAAATCATTACTAAAGTGCTTCGTTAATAGTTTTCGAGTCTTTTGGTGTTCCCATTGAATCAGAAATGCGGGGAATTTTATTATATTCTGGTAGTTTTGACTATACTTTTTTCACAGTGTAGGGTAGAAAATTAAAAAATATATGCACATTTGTATATGAAAATTAAGCTTCTAGATTCTGGGAACTTAAATGTTACAACTTTAACTTCAACTTATTTATACTTTAAATGTTGCTTTAATTTTTTATGGAGACTGC